GTAATTATTTCCTCAATAAATGTGATTAATCAAAAAGGATGGGGGGAGGGAAATGCAAAGCTTCATTGTTAAGGTTATAAAAGGAAAATGCTTTGTTTTGATGAGGGTAACTACTGTATTTCTAGAGGTTGTATGTGTGTTTAATAGAGGTAAACACTTGCTTCATCTTCAGAATCAACTTTGATAGTACTAGCACATAAAAATAATCTGATGTGATCTGGGGAAAGCGGTTTCTTGAACCATAGTTCCCAGAATCCCACAGCTTGTAGCCATGATGGCTGTGGGATTCTGAAAATTGTAATCTGGGGGGAGACACCCCCCCCCCCAAAAAAATCCAAAGCCTGTCTCTAAGTGTATGGCAGCTGGGGTTCAAGAAGTAACTGGCTTCCCTCCTTCCTGCCATTGTTTTGTGTTTGTTTCTACCCCCAAGAGCCACCATTTTGTGCATGGCTCTGGCTGGTGAACCTCAGGCTTCCAGGAGAAAACATCCTATGCACAGATGCTCACACACATGAAGGCTACTCTCCTGAGCTATGGTTCCTTCTTACCTTCCTTTCTCTACGCTGAAACATTTGTCTTTGGGTTCTGTCTAAATCTCCCCTAACTTTAGCCATTGAGAAAAAGGGTCAATCTGATGCTCTCCAATGTATTTCTCCGCTCTCTTGTGGATAGCAAGAGCCAGTGTGGCCTAGTGGTTTGAGCATTGGACTATGACTCTGGAGACCAGGATTGGAACCCCTGCTTGGTTGTGAAACCCACTGGGTGACCTTGGATAAGGCACACACTCTCAGCCTCAAGGGAAGGCAATGGTAAACCTCTGAACACATCTTGCCAAGAAAACCCCGTGATGGATTCACCTTAGGGTCGCCATAAGTCGGAAACAACTTAAGGCACACACAACTACTGACACAAACCGTACTTGTGGACTATTCAAGTCAAAGGTAGGCAACCAAATGTTGTTGGATGGCAGTTGGTATCAGCCATACTAGCCTATAGGAAATGCAATCTGAAAACATCTGGATGGTCACATGTTTCTGTCTTGGCTTAAATGCTTGCATGAAGTCAGAATCTGATCTGAGGCAGTGTAGTGATCTGAGTATTGGACTTTGATCAATAGGGAGATGGGAGTTCTAATCTCCATTCAGCCATGAATCTGAATAAGTAAGCTTGGCCCAGCTGTTCTCTCAGAGTCATACTGCCCTTAAGGATATTGGGGTAGAGGTTTAACCCACATCCGTTTATCTGCTGCCGTGCATTCCTCGAAGGAAGAGTAGGATACCACTCAAAATTCAGGCTCTTTTTAAATGCTCTTTCAGGGGCTTAACCTTCACATGAATCTAATCTTGATGTCTTTTTCTAGATGAGAAAGAAAGGAAAGACTCTGCCTTCTGAAAACCACACCCTCATAGTTTGCTGTCACTGTTTAGGAATTAACAACGAACACTTCACACCTTGGGATTGATGAAGAACTCTATGTGAATTTAAAGCTTGCTTTCCCCTTTCAGGTCATGGAAACGGAATCTCTCCCCAGTCATTTTTTGGATATCCCCATCACTTGGGCAATTCCTGATTAAGAAAGAGCTGGGGTGGAAATGCAAATAGTCTCATTTTCCGAATCCATGCAAACTTACCTCTTCAAATCTTCCCTCTTTTTCTTCACCAGCAAGACCAGTAATTTCTCCCTTTAAAGCAAAGCAGAATAATGGAAAGGCTGCATGTCTTTCCCTCTAGATGTTTGTTCGTACTCTTTTCCAGCCTTGTCTGAAATGACTCAACAGGGGCTGAAGTTCAACCCTGGGGAGATAAAAAAAAGATAAAAAAAAAGAAGGAAGGGGGTGGATCTCTTACCATGACTGATTGGAGAATGACCACCTCAGCAGAAATGGAAATCGTAGTGTTCCCACGCTTGAATTGTCAATTGCTTGCTTTGTGCTCCTCTTGCCTGTCTCATGTTGGGCATGGTGATGAAGGCAGCTCTTTTGAAAACCCTGCCGTGAGAGGCAGAAAAGCAAGAATAGAAAGGGATAAGACCCCCCTCCCCACCGCCATATGATGGGATGTCACCCACTTGCCTCCCAGAGGGCCCCTTTCTCTTGGCTCCTTTTCTGCTTCTGGATTACACATTAACTCAGGCTGTTTGCTTAAGAGAAATGGGTGGTTAGAGATAGTAGGTTAGCACATCTCAATTTTGAGGAGTTGTATGGGATATATTAGTCACAATGCAAAACCTCAGCAAAATTACTCCCCCTTTCAGAGGTATCCAGTGTGTTTCTGAATGAGTCTCTGGTCTGGGCTTTCCTCTTTTCAACAGGCACACTCCTATGAACAAATGAAGCCTTATATTATGTCAGATTGCTGGTCTACTTAATCTAGTGTAATAATAATAATAATAATAATAATAATAATATAGTTTATTTGTATACCGCCCCAGTGGCAAGCCAATCTAGGCGGTGAACAACATAATAAAAATACAACAAGTTAAAACAATATAAATCCCTCCTCCCCCCCTTAAAAATTATTAAATCAAGTACAAGTTAAAACAACTGCAATTAAGTAGTAATTAAGTGATAAAAAACATAAAATTCAATTATAAAACAGCAAAACAACAAGTGTAGAGGGTAAAAAACAGAGATCTTTCCTTTAGAGCTAACATTTTTTTCTTTCTTGGTGTTGATTAGCACAGTCCACATTTGTGGCTTTGACTTTTGCAGATTTGATCATTTGTGGATTTGATTAATATGTTCTCTCTAAGAATCTCTAGGACTAGGCCCTCCAAGCCAGAGGTTGACCATAAAGTCATGCTGGAGGACCTAGAGACGCTCCTAGAGAAAGCACTTCTCTAGGCATTTATAGGTCCTTCAGTGCGATTCTGTGGTCACCTTTCAGCTGGAGGGTCTGATTTCTAGAGAGATGTTCTTTCAGGTTTTTTTTTTATTTGTGGTTTTCCCACTTTCATGGGAGTCCTCTGTCCCTAACCTCCAAAAATGTGGAGGGCCTCCTGTATTTTTTATAAAATCATTCACCAGCCTTGTATATTCATCTGCTTATGTAGTTTAGATATTTATAATCATTGTCTTCCACTTCAAAGGCTTTCCAAAAGGAACCCTTCAAAGGAGGCAAATGGCAGCACTAAATGAGGTCTAACATTGGGGCCACCATCAGCAAGGTCCTGCAAAAGATGTATGCCCAGCTAGCATCCATGAATGATGGAACTGTTATCAGACCTTTTTGCTCATCAGCAATTGTGAAGGATGAAATATATGAGACCTAGCCTCATAGGGGACCCAAAGGGCTTGGAATGTAGCACAGAAAACCTGTTTTTCTTCAATGGCTTCCTGCTGGTGGTAGATACAGCTAAATCCAAAGGTAGATGGGACCCCAACCCGAAAGTCGATGGGACCTCAAACCCTCTGTATCTTTTCTTTTCTTTATGCCACTCCCATTTCTTTCTCTGTCTCGTGGTTTTCTTCACATGATTCCCTATTCAGTTCCTTGCATATTCTGTGAACAAACTAGTATTTTTGAACAAACACCATATATGGATCCAAGTGAAGTTCCCAAATTGGCCTCAAAGTTTATCTCTACACAGGCCAAAACCCAGAATCTTTCAGCTAATATGATTGCTGCAAACAGTAAATGGGGGCCCATCACATTTTTAATACTCCTAAAAACAAAACAGACTTCTCACAAGTGCATAACAGAGAGCTAACTGGTCTAGAAAGTATCTCCTGAATTTGCTTTTGTTTTATTTTAATAATCAGAGAACATTTCCCTTCACTCCCATGGCAGAGTGTTCCAAAATGGCACACTACTCACCTGGTACAGGCTTCTTTACCACAACAGGCTTTTACCATCTCATTTCTGTCATATGTGTGACCAGGCAAACATGCAAAAAGACTTTTAGTTTAGAGATACTTTGGGAATCTTAAAAATTAAATGGGGAAGCAGACGGGTGGCACAGGGCTGCCCCAGGAAGCTGCGCCGCGGGGCCGAGGTATCCGCACACCTCGGCCCTGCGGTGCAGCTTCGCCGCCCCAGGAAGGAGCACTAAAATAGCGCTCCTTCCACAAATCGCTGAAGGTGTGCCGCAAAAGGCTGCCGGCGCAACTTCGGGGACTCTTCCGCTGCAGCGTGTACGGACGCTGCAGCGGGAGGTCATCCTCAGTGCGCTGGCCGTGCAGAGAGCCGGCTGCTCCGAGGACGTTTTGGGGAAGGGGTTGGGGCGCCCACCGTGCGGCTGCACCTCCCCTTCCTTGCCCTGAAAACGGCGCTTTGCGCTGTCTGCTTCCCCCCTAAAGATGCTTTACCTGGCATGATTTATGGTTTCATGGACTGCTGGCCACTTACTGATCAGTGATATCTCTAGATCAGCCCTTCCTGGGCCTTGCACCCTCCAAATTAATTGGACTACAAGTTCCATCATCCTGAAACCTAGCTGAGGATTGTGAGAACTGGTGGTACCAGTTGGATAGGGCTTCTGTAAACATGCTCCATTATGCTTGCTAAGCCACAAAGTTCCATAGGTCAAGACTTGCAACATCATTCTACTATTAGGAGGAGAGGTTTTTCTACTCACTCTTAATTCCTTTTCTTTTTTCCTTCTAGTTTCTGAGAGGAAGATCATGCAATGTTCTACTTTCACTTCTTAGTCCGCAGAGATTTTTAAGTACGACATTCAAGGTGAGAAAACATAGCTGATTGAGAGCTACTGGATTTGGGAATTCATTTGTCATTGTGAGAGATGGATGGATGTACAATTTACATGTACTGGTGCCACCACTTTTTATTCTGAAATGGAGTTGAGGTTGACACAGTTCTATCCCTCATGGAGGCCTTGCTGATTGACAGTAGATTTTAATAGTCTTTGTTTTCTTTCCTAGGCCTCTGATCTCCAGATTGACTTAACCAAGGACCCAAAGCCCAAACCAGACCCAGGGAACCTGGTCTTTGGCAAAACATTCACTGACCACATGCTAACTGTGGAATGGAGCAAAGAGAAAGGTTGGGGAAAACCACACATCAAGCCTTTTCAGAATCTCTCTCTTCACCCAGCTTCTTCTGCCTTGCATTACTCAGTACAGGTAACTGTTTCCTCTCTTGGAATTGTCATCTTCTTCCCATCCTGTTCACATTGCTAGCAGAATCCACATGAATAGCTGCTCTGAGGCTTTAGATCTCCCTGCCTAGGGAGGCATGGATGCCTCCTTTGTCTTTCCACCAGTAATGAAAACTCTTCCATTCCAACATATTTTTAGGAATTGCAGTGGGCTTTTCTTGGTGTGGAGTCTTGTTGATTTTTATTTTCTTGCTTTTAATCGATTTTTCAGTTTTAATTCTATAGATTGTGTAATTGCACTTTAAAATTGCTTTTATGTATTTTTATTGACTGTATACTTTAATCCCTGTATTCTGATATTTTGTAAGTCTCCTTGAGTCCTAGTATTTGGGAAGAGGCACTATAAAAATAAAGAGTGTGATGGTAGCTGGGGAGTGTGATGAAATACTGGATGGATTTGGCGTTAAGTGAGAAATGAAGGGGATCCAATATGGTTCTTTCTTCTTACTCAGATGGCTACTTGCTCCAAATGTTGCTCCAAATGTTCTGTTCTCCAAATAAATAGATACATGCATATTGATTCAATGACTTGGGAGTGGGTGGATTCTGAGAATAACAAATTTGTCATGTGTTTGCTTTGAGTTACACAGCCCTGTGTGTGAAACAGGAATGGGATTATTGCTTTTGATACAC